AGAACTTATCCATGTGGAGTTGAATACAAGGAGGATGAGAGGACACTTAAAAGTTTCAAGTAAAAGGAGGCAATAAAGATGTCAAAAAGTTCAGTTTCCCAAACAGAACTACTGAAACAGAACAGTCTCCCAAACATGATAGTGTGTGCCAAAAATGTGCATCATTTTAAAGTTAGCAGACCGATAGTTGTCACAGCCTAGGTATATGACTGAATTCAAATGTGACTAAGCATAAGTCAGCTACAATAAATATCAAAATACTTCATGTGTAGCTAAGCTTAAGTGAGTCAGATAAAAAATTAACAAATAAATAGATTAAAAAGAACAAAAATTAAAATCACCAAAGCATCTGAGCTGTCTGCTGCTAATTCTGGTGAGATTCCTTCATTGAATATATCAATAACTTGGTGCCTAAAATTGACAATGTCTTCATGGGCATCACATGCAGAAATTATAGTGTTATCTATAAACTTGACAATATCTTCAAGACTTTCATTTCTGCATTCAAAGTGTTCCTGCAACTCAATTCTGAACTTCTCATTTAAGAACTGCTTCTGTAAGGGAAAATTTTAAGTGTGAGATACTTAAAAGACTGTTTCTGGAAAATACGTTACATGGACTACCATGGAAATGTCCACAGTCTCACATTTGATTAAGATATATTCATATAATAAAGTAAGCAATCTTTATATAGGTACAAGGCAAGAAATAAAATAATTTCTTCTATTTCCATTACATGAGTTTAATATGTGATTCTCAATTTAAGAGATACACATTTCACATCCATACATAGTGTAAAAGACTAAATGACCCTTACCAAAACACTAAGGATTTCCTTGTTACATTTCTGCAAGTATTGTTGTCTAGTCTCTTGGATCCTGTGGAACTCCTTGACAGTTTCCTCCAGCTCCTGCTGCATGTTATGAACTTTCTGCATGACTTAAGTCCACTAACTAGAAACAAAGATGATCTGTAAGGAAAATTGTGAATGAGAGATAACTCAGTTGTTTGGTTTAGATCATAATAAAAGTTAAGTGATATTTAAATAAAGGACATAGACTCTGGTATTTGATAACGTCTTTGTGTAAAAATCATGTAGACATTACTTGTGTTTCTATAAGAATAAATCATCAGCATCAGGCCTGTAATACAAATTATCCAAATCTTTTGTTTTCCACATGCTAAACTTGTAATAGATGCATCATACAGCATATCTACAAAGAAAAAGATAATAAGACATTCTGTAAATTATCCTATTAGATGATCTGGAACCAACACACTGATAATCAGAGGAAATGCATTAATACCGAGCTCTTAGATTTCACCTGCAATTTCCATGGAACACACACATGGATCATTATCAAACAGTCTTATCTTACTGAAAGAAACATTTTTGAATGTCAAAAAGGAATGTGACAGCAAGCAAAAGGTATAAAACAGCATGAATTTGCTACATCAAATAAATAAATAAAACAAATGATTGTGCCACCAACATAAATATCAAAGTACTGGTATCTCTGCATGTAACCTTCAAAAGTAGACAACATGTGGAAACATGAAAAAAGGAAAAGAAATTAAACAAAACTACACAAATAATGGAAATTTCAAACAAAATGGATGGGGAATTTCATCTGACTTTCTAATTCAAGCTGAGACATAATTTGGTATAACTGCCACCTAATTCAAGCTTTTCTCAGTGATCTACATATAAACCAATTAACAGTTTTGAGTCTCTTTGGCTATGTGAACTGTGTTTTCATTTCTTATAGCCTATACAGAAACAATTTTGTAATGTACCACTCTCAGAAACCTTTTAAGACTCATTTCTGCATTACCACTATGATCTCTCTCTCTTTTTGGCATATGTAACTATTATATTTCTCAAATGAAGGCATGAGAAACATGCTCCTAGAGAACACTGATAGCAAATGAAGTACAACTAATCCCTTTTTCACACAAAACTGTTATACACTGTGGACTTTGCATGGCCAACATACAAAGATATTATACCAATATTACACGTAAACATTAATGACAGGCTTATAAAACGTCAAAATTTCCATAAATCCTGAACTATAATATATTTTTTCACTCCTGATTTCGTGTCATTTATTTTCTATTTAGGATTCAACTGGAATATAGTATGAGCCTGGACATGTAATTAGGCAAACAACCCATACATCATGAAGATTCAACTATGAATTTATTGGAAATGATACCTGCACAAGACACCACACCTTGAATCCCAATGGGAGGGTTGGGCAATTTAGTTACTATAAATAAAAATGCAAATATATATTGAAACTCTACAAACACCTGACAATATGCTCACTGAATCAATTTTAAGATGCTTTGCACCCCATCTAGAGAATAAAAAACAAAATTATACATTATGCGGCTGAAAATACAGCTGAGGAAAAAGAATAGAATAAATAAACTAATATGACATTTGATCATGAAAGAAAATATGAAATCAGAGATAAACAAATTAAAAGACAGATTAGAAGAGTCTAACCAAAAAAATGCTAAAGAAAAAAGAGCAGCTGGAGCTTTAAAAATAACTCCCAAGTATTCTTCTTCATATGGGAATAACAAATAAAATTGTACTATAAAGTTTTCCATGAAAAACATATCTGTACTATTGATCTGAAACAAGTCATACTATACAACTTCCCATGAAGGAACAGCATCATTGAAGCAATGACACTGTGCAAGAAAATTAACAATTGGACCAGATGAAATTCCTGCAATCTTTATAAAGCACTGCAAAGCCAATGAAAATTTATAAAGAAAAGACTTAAGGACTTATCACAAACACACTGAGCAATAGAAATATACTTTTTTATTTATAAAGGGGCACTAAAATGTGACACACACACACACACACACACACACCACACACACACACACACACACACACACACACACACACACACACACACACACACACACACACACACACACACACACACACACACACACACACACACACACACACACACACACACACAACACACACACACACTACAGTGGGTAGTGAGAGAAAGAGAGGCAGAAAAAAGAGTATCTATACCAAGAAAACAAGATAAACTCTAGATTGCATGGTTTCCAAAAGGGTTATTCTTGCCAAACCCAATTCCTGAAGTAAAATGAACTAAAAGCCTCAACTGAAACTAAATAAGCTGACATAATATGCTAAGATTCTGCAAAAGATTTTAATAAGGTCAATCACAGAATCTTACTCTTGAATGATAAAGATTTGGGAATCTGAGGAAAAGAAAGAGCATGGATACACATTCCTGTCGGCATGAGCCAGAACAAAATTTACGCTGAGTAACCAAGCAAATTTCTTGCTCTTGATGATGGTTATCTATACTCAAAGTTACTATGTAATTAGCGTTTACTTTGTGAGAAGCCTAAGCACAAAAATAAGGTACAATTAAAATTAATCTTGTCTTATAAGTGTTGAGGTTTAGTTAACAAGAGGTCAAGGATATGAATATTACATACATAAAGATAAAAATTAGTAGATACATGCAGAGAAAAAATGGGTACCCATATAGTGGCAATATAGAGATGATGAAATGGAACAATAAATGGCTATAATTAATAGCATGTCTTATAAGAAAATACATATATATAGAAATATAAATATTACAATAAATTCATATATAAATACCACTAGATGACACTTTAATATTAGCATCTTCAAGATCTTATTATTCTAAAGATCACAAAAATATTATGGTTAATTTTTACTTTCTGCCTTACAGTATACCACATGCTATGCTTGAGCCCAAACCCCTTTGTAATTTGTAAAAGACATTTCATTTTCAAGCACACCTTCCATCTTTATCATTTGGCTTTAAACTATTCTATAGTGTCTACCTCTTTGATCCTTTCCTTCCTGCTTTCCCTATTTTATATTTTCCTATTACATTCTTTTTTCTTTGGGAAGATCTGTGGTAGATAAACTAAATTCTTCATCATTTACCAAAGTACCTGTTCAGACCCCATAGATCCTTCTGCGAATGGCCATGCAATGATTTGTGTTCCAGCTAAGGCCAACATACCTCAATCACACATATGCTGCCAAACCGAACCTACAGATCTTAATAATTCATTAATAAATTGGAATTGAATCCAAAATTCATCTTATCAGTCTGAATATACCAACTTATTGACCTTTGAGTGATAATGTTGCAGCCACAGCAATTGCAGGACAGCATGGCAAAGGGGTTGGACTTTAGATCATAAGCTGTCAACAATATAATAGAGAAAGGATTTTGAGAGAACATAGTCATTAGAATTATGAAGAAAAAAAGTCATTTATCAAAAGCCTCTCTAGATCTTTCCTAAATATTTACCCTTACTTTCAAAGAACATGTTTTTCATATTACATATACAGACTTTCTGTAAACAAAATTCACTATTACTGACATAAAAGTAATTAAAATATGATGCTTTAAGTTGCACATCAGTATGGGATTATGCAAACCCTAAATACTGAAAAAGTCAATATTTCTTGATGCTTAAATATTTTTGGGTAATGTTCATAAAAAAATGCAATATTTTGTTTGGTGTAAGGTTTATAAAAATATGTTGCGTTTACTGTTATACTTATAATAATGTTTTTCCCCCAAATATTTACAGTAATATAGACTATATAATGTTGATGTTGATATAGTCTTGGACTTTGTAGTGTAAATACCTAAAAATACTCTTTAGCATCTCCCTGGTGGCTTTGGATTTTACATTCCACACACACACACACACAATAAAATAGGATAAATATATTTACGAACACAAGATTAATGAATCAGTTATTAACAATATATTCAACAATATCCACACTAATTGCCGTGTTACTATTATCAAAGAATGTAATGGAATTTGTACAACTCAAAACATGGCATACGCATTTTTTACTATGTAGGCCTATTCTCTTCTTTAATTTATCTGAAAATTCTATTAAACAACTAATAATACCTACTTCCTATTAAAATCCTAAATAAAGCAAAATACGGAAGTCGAAAATGCACTCTCAAAATTTATCCACCTTTCAATATTCCTATTTACTTATGAAATTCATTAAATTACACATTATTTGAGACAAAAACTTTGTTTATAATATAGTAATGTCTTTTTGCTTTAAATTGGCACTCAGCAACCTGAATACCTGGAAATTTCATAGGAGGAAAGCTGAAAAGAAATTAAAAAAAACATTTTAAAATTATTTGCAATCAACAAAAAGCAAGAACACACAATAAAAATAAAAGCTGTCTAAAGCTGATCAGGTCACGGAGATCTGTGGATCAGACACCATGCTCTTGATATTTTCCATAGTGTCTTCCTTATTATTAAACGGAAAAGATTAAACACGTTTGACTGATCATGCTGGGAATTGTGCATCAGTAATTGTATTAAAGTATTAACACTATTTGCGAACGTAAAATTAAAGATTTTCGTGAGAATAATTTCACAAATTTGGACGCTTCATTGACTACAGGGTTGCCAGCTGTGGTGATTATAGAAAGGAAAGGGAAGCAAAGGAAAATTATTAAAATAAAAATAGCAATTGATATTACTACCACCAACAAATAAACAGATCTATGTAGGATGATGAATAGCATGCATACCATTACCTTTAATTACCTTCGCCAAGGAGGTTATGTTTTCTGGTAGCGTTGGTTAGTTGGTTAGCAGGATAAATAATTTTTATGATCTTTTACCAGAGGTGTCTTAGCCCAACTTAGATGCTATTAAATTTAGGTGAATTTTTAAAGGATTAGTATTTGCGAGATGGGAAAACACGGACGTTATTAGTGTATTTCAGAAAGAGGTAATTTTCGTTATTCTTCAAATGTGAATATTTTTATTGCATCAGTAACCCTATTGCCTTGGTGGAGGTAAACGTGCTTCTAGTTAATAATTGTCATGATAGTTATTGGTAATGATAATATGATAAAA